ATATATTCACCTCCCTTTCCATTATGCCCATGTTGCTGTAAAAATCGATAGTCATCTATTACAATATCTGTCATTCCTTCCTGTTCTGTTATTATTTTACGAAATAACTATCTATCCTCTTCTGTGATTGGGAGACGAATTTTGTTAGGTTCGAAGCCTGTGTACTGGGAAACCTGATCACGTAGTTCAGCCATTATACCAATAAAGCTTATCTTTAAAATATGTAGATTTGTAAAAATACTAATGATCATCCCAAATCATTTCCAGGCATTTCTGAGGCCAGGCTGTATGATCAGAGGCCAGAAGTTTGAAGTGATCATCCTAAGCCAGAAGTTCGAAGATAGAAATTGAAGTTAGCTGGTATTATTGCACGACAAAAAATATGTAAATAATATTATGAGTTCTCTTAGCCGAAATTACCACACATCGCTAAGAGTACTTAACAATATAGTTCAATGATTTCATCTATATCAGCTTCAGATAAATTATTTTTTTTATCATCCTGTAACTTTGATAACATTCGATAGCATATAATTTCTAGACCAACTATCCTATACTATGTATTTCACAAATCAGTTAGTAAATCATATCTATTTTCTAGATTATATGATAACATATATCTTTCTAAGAACATGGTTTTCGATCTGCGCTTACCGACCTTAGTAACTATTTTATACATTCTATCTCTACAACTAATATCGATCTTAGAAATTTCTGCGAGTAATGTTGTTAGCTTTAAAGTGGATAGATTCCTCTTGCTTGTCTAATGCATTGAGGTAAGAAGACCAATAAGCATCATTTCCCAAGTATTTTACTATTTTATCAGCATATGTGCTATTAAATAAATTTTTCGCATAAGTATTAGCCTCTTTTTACAGATAGGATATAATGGCATGACCTTTTTTCAGACCAGTATGTAGCTCTTTGATATACCCTCTAACCCATTTTTTAGCTGATTTTTACGCTAAGGCATCTCTTATTTTCGATACCTCATCTTCATCCACTTTATCTTCGTTCACGTCGTCTTCATCTACTCCACCGTCATCTGCTTTATTATCATCCGATTTATTACTATTTTTTAACTTTTTTAAGGCTTCCAGCATAGCTTCGGGTGGTAGTTGGTATATATCTTTATAATTTATAAAACATGCACAGAGGCTGACAACGCTATTCAGATAATAACTAATATCGGTCTTTTTACCAAGTTGTCTGGTCACTTCTAGGTACTCCATTCTATCACCTATCTTCTGTAATAAATCATTTTCAACTACAACATATTCAAATCGCTCACCTGGTTTTGGGGTTTCATAAAGAAAAGGCTTGGGTGTTAGGCCCTTTTTTATGAGTCATTTTGCATCTGCTTCTTTATGAGTATATCTATCTTGCATTCGTGATATAAAGCGCTGAACAGACTTATTATCTTTATCTGGTTTCCAGACAGCAGTTTTAATTAAATCATTAAGATCTGTCTGAGAAATATCCTTTACAGATTCCCTAAGAAC